GGCGAATGATGAATAGAAGTGATAATGTAATGTGGTATTGACGATTGTTTGTGTTTCTAGTGACGTGTTTGTTTCCGTGATAAGTGTAAGACGTTTAGTTTATTGTGTGTGTGTGTGTGTGTGTGTGTGTGTGAATGACGTGGTGTCTGTTGATTGTGTTGGTTGTTAGTGTTTGAAAGAGGTTATTTTGTTGAGTGTAGTTGTGCAGTTGTTTTTGTTCCTGAAAGCGCAGAGACGCACTAGCGTTGTCTGTCGTCGCATTGGGAACAACAGAGAAGGATGATTCCATATAGTGGGTGAGATGGCAATGATGCTGTTTCAATGTGGGATCGTACAGTTGTATGGCGAATGATGAATAGAAGTGATAATGTAATGTGGTATTGACGATTGTTTGTGTTTCTAGTGACGTGTTTGTTTCCGTGATAACTGTAAGACGTTTAGTTTATTGTGTGTGTGTGTGTGTGTGTGAATGACGTGGTGTCTGTTGATTGTGTTGGTTGTTAGTGTTTGAAAGAGGTTATTTTGTTGAGTGTAGTTGTGCAGTTGTTTTTGTTCCTGAAAGCGCAGAGACGCACTAGCGTTGTCTGTCGTCGCATTGGGAACAACAGAGAAGGATGATTCCATATAGTGGGTGAGATGGCAATGATGCTGTTTCAATGTGGGATCGTACAGTTGTATGGCGAATGATGAATAGAAGTGATAATGTAATGTGGTATTGACGATTGTTTGTGTTTCTAGTGACGTGTTTGTTTCCGTGATAACTGTAAGACGTTTAGTTTATTGTGTGTGTGTGTGTGTGTGTGAATGACGTGGTGTCTGTTGATTGTGTTGGTTGTTAGTGTTTGAAAGAGGTTATTTTGTTGAGTGTAGTTGTGCAGTTGTTTTTGTTCCTGAAAGCGCAGAGACGCACTAGCGTTGTCTGTCGTCGCATTGGGAACAACAGAGAAGGATGATTCCATATAGTGGGTGAGATGGCAATGATGCTGTTTCAATGTGGGATCGTACAGTTGTATGGCGAATGATGAATAGAAGTGATAATGTAATGTGGTATTGACGATTGTTTGTGTTTCTAGTGACGTGTTTGTTTCCGTGATAAGTGTAAGACGTTTAGTTTATTGTGTGTGTGTGTGTGTGTGTGTGTGAATGACGTGGTGTCTGTTGATTGTGTTGGTTGTTAGTGTTTGAAAGAGGTTATTTTGTTGAGTGTAGTTGTGCAGTTGTTTTTGTTCCTGAAAGCGCAGAGACGCACTAGCGTTGTCTGTCGTCGCATTGGGAACAACAGAGAAGGATGATTCCATATAGTGGGTGAGATGGCAATGATGCTGTTTCAATGTGGGATCGTACAGTTGTATGGCGAATGATGAATAGAAGTGATAATGTAATGTGGTATTGACGATTGTTTGTGTTTCTAGTGACGTGTTTGTTTCCGTGATAAGTGTAAGACGTTTAGTTTATTGTGTGTGTGTGTGTGTGTGTGTGAATGACGTGGTGTCTGTTGATTGTGTTGGTTGTTAGTGTTTGAAAGAGGTTATTTTGTTGAGTGTAGTTGTGCAGTTGTTTTTGTTCCTGAAAGCGCAGAGACGCACTAGCGTTGTCTGTCGTCGCATTGGGAACAACAGAGAAGGATGATTCCATATAGTGGGTGAGATGGCAATGATGCTGTTTCAATGTGGGATCGTACAGTTGTATGGCGAATGATGAATAGAAGTGATAATGTAATGTGGTATTGACGATTGTTTGTGTTTCTAGTGACGTGTTTGTTTCCGTGATAAGTGTAAGACGTTTAGTTTATTGTGTGTGTGTGTGTGTGTGTGTGAATGACGTGGTGTCTGTTGATTGTGTTGGTTGTTAGTGTTTGAAAGAGGTTATTTTGTTGAGTGTAGTTGTGCAGTTGTTTTTGTTCCTGAAAGCGCAGAGACGCACTAGCGTTGTCTGTCGTCGCATTGGGAACAACAGAGAAGGATGATTCCATATAGTGGGTGAGATGGCAATGATGCTGTTTCAATGTGGGATCGTACAGTTGTATGGCGAATGATGAATAGAAGTGATAATGTAATGTGGTATTGACGATTGTTTGTGTTTCTAGTGACGTGTTTGTTTCCGTGATAAGTGTAAGACGTTTAGTTTATTGTGTGTGTGTGTGTGTGTGTGAATGACGTGGTGTCTGTTGATTGTGTTGGTTGTTAGTGTTTGAAAGAGGTTATTTTGTTGAGTGTAGTTGTGCAGTTGTTTTTGTTCCTGAAAGCGCAGAGACGCACTAGCGTTGTCTGTCGTCGCATTGGGAACAACAGAGAAGGATGATTCCATATAGTGGGTGAGATGGCAATGATGCTGTTTCAATGTGGGATCGTACAGTTGTATGGCGAATGATGAATAGAAGTGATAATGTAATGTGGTATTGACGATTGTTTGTGTTTCTAGTGACGTGTTTGTTTCCGTGATAAGTGTAAGACGTTTAGTTTATTGTGTGTGTGTGTGTGTGTGAATGACGTGGTGTCTGTTGATTGTGTTGGTTGTTAGTGTTTGAAAGAGGTTATTTTGTTGAGTGTAGTTGTGCAGTTGTTTTTGTTCCTGAAAGCGCAGAGACGCACTAGCGTTGTCTGTCGTCGCATTGGGAACAACAGAGAAGGATGATTCCATATAGTGGGTGAGATGGCAATGATGCTGTTTCAATGTGGGATCGTACAGTTGTATGGCGAATGATGAATAGAAGTGATAATGTAATGTGGTATTGACGATTGTTTGTGTTTCTAGTGACGTGTTTGTTTCCGTGATAAGTGTAAGACGTTTAGTTTATTGTGTGTGTGTGTGTGTGTGAATGACGTGGTGTCTGTTGATTGTGTTGGTTGTTAGTGTTTGAAAGAGGTTATTTTGTTGAGTGTAGTTGTGCAGTTGTTTTTGTTCCTGAAAGCGCAGAGACGCACTAGCGTTGTCTGTCGTCGCATTGGGAACAACAGAGAAGGATGATTCCATATAGTGGGTGAGATGGCAATGATGCTGTTTCAATGTGGGATCGTACAGTTGTATGGCGAATGATGAATAGAAGTGATAATGTAATGTGGTATTGACGATTGTTTGTGTTTCTAGTGACGTGTTTGTTTCCGTGATAAGTGTAAGACGTTTAGTTTATTGTGTGTGTGTGTGTGTGTGAATGACGTGGTGTCTGTTGATTGTGTTGGTTGTTAGTGTTTGAAAGAGGTTATTTTGTTGAGTGTAGTTGTGCAGTTGTTTTTGTTCCTGAAAGCGCAGAGACGCACTAGCGTTGTCTGTCGTCGCATTGGGAACAACAGAGAAGGATGATTCCATATAGTGGGTGAGATGGCAATGATGCTGTTTCAATGTGGGATCGTACAGTTGTATGGCGAATGATGAATAGAAGTGATAATGTAATGTGGTATTGACGATTGTTTGTGTTTCTAGTGACGTGTTTGTTTCCGTGATAACTGTAAGACGTTTAGTTTATTGTGTGTGTGTGTGTGTGTGTGTGTGTGAATGACGTGGTGTCTGTTGATTGTGTTGGTTGTTAGTGTTTGAAAGAGGTTATTTTGTTGAGTGTAGTTGTGCAGTTGTTTTTGTTCCTGAAAGCGCAGAGACGCACTAGCGTTGTCTGTCGTCGCATTGGGAACAACAGAGAAGGATGATTCCATATAGTGGGTGAGATGGCAATGATGCTGTTTCAATGTGGGATCGTACAGTTGTATGGCGAATGATGAATAGAAGTGATAATGTAATGTGGTATTGACGATTGTTTGTGTTTCTAGTGACGTGTTTGTTTCCGTGATAAGCTGTAAGACGTTTAGTTTATTGTGTGTGTGTGTGTGTGTGTGTGTGAATGACGTGGTGTCTGTTGATTGTGTTGGTTGTTAGTGTTTGAAAGAGGTTATTTTGTTGAGTGTAGTTGTGCAGTTGTTTTTGTTCCTGAAAGCGCAGAGACGCACTAGCGTTGTCTGTCGTCGCATTGGGAACAACAGAGAAGGATGATTCCATATAGTGGGTGAGATGGCAATGATGCTGTTTCAATGTGGGATCGTACAGTTGTATGGCGAATGATGAATAGAAGTGATAATGTAATGTGGTATTGACGATTGTTTGTGTTTCTAGTGACGTGTTTGTTTCCGTGATAAGTGTAAGACGTTTAGTTTATTGTGTGTGTGTGTGTGTGTGTGTGTGTGAATGACGTGGTGTCTGTTGATTGTGTTGGTTGTTAGTGTTTGAAAGAGGTTATTTTGTTGAGTGTAGTTGTACAGTTGTTTTTGTTCCTGAAAGCGCAGAGACGCACTAGCGTTGTCTGTCGTCGCATTGGGAACAACAGAGAAGGATGATTCCATATAGTGGGTGAGATGGCAATGATGCTGTTTCAATGTGGGATCGTACAGTTGTATGGCGAATGATGAATAGAAGTGATAATGTAATGTGGTATTGACGATTGTTTGTGTTTCTAGTGACGTATTTCTTTTGTGTTTTGACTGTATAAATTTGCATTTTGTGATGTGTCTCACTGCTTTCTTGTGCATTGTGTATTGATTCGCTGTATTGTTTTTGGGTTTTACGTGTTTTCATTTTATTTTTAATACTGATTATTATTTTTGTTATTTTTTGTAATATTTATGTTTCCTGTTATCGTTTTTTTTAATTTTTTTAATTTTTGCTTTGTGTGTTATTATTTTCATTGATTTAGTGGGCGTACATATTGTTATTTTAGTTTGTGTTTATTTTCTCTTCATTCTACTTGGTATTTTTCATTGGTAATTAGGCGTTGAGAACTTGGTGCACTGTATTTGATTTTCGTTATTTTGGGTAATATCTTTATTGCATCACATTTTACTTTACTTGATTGTTATTCCAACGAATATGTGTCAGTGATTATTTTATTCTTCGCTGTTTTCCCTTGTTTATTTACTTATCAACTATTTTGTTTATATTTATTACTGGTGTTTTTATTCTGATGTTCACTTCAGGTTTATTTTCAATTTAAGATAAATAAAGAAAATGTTTTCTATATCAAATCTTATATTTAGAATAGTTTTAATATATATGCTGTATAAAATAATATACATTGGTTCGTGATAATGTTTGTCTTTGTTCTAATGGCTAACGTATGATGGAGTCTATTTGAAGCGCTAACTAGTAATTGGAAACCTTTTTGATTCTTTGATTCGTGCTTATTGGTATGTTGTAGCTGTTGAAGTCGTTTGTGTTTATTCGTTGAATACTTCACATTTGTTTCTAGTGCAAATAGTTTGGACGATTGTTCAACCATATTAGACGTAGATGTATAATTGTAGTTAACCAAAGTTCTACAACAGAAAGGAAAAACAGAACATTTTCTATTAAAAAAAACTAGGAATGTTAAGTACTAAGTTCAATACTCTTTATTCGAGTCATATATACGCGGTAAAACAGAAGCTAAGTAAATGTGAATGTGTAGGTCGGACTTCATTTTTAAAAGCTTGTGTAGAATAATGCAGTGATTAGTAATGTCATGTAAGTAATACTATAGCTGTTGTAGTTTCTCTATCCTTTGTCATTTAAGCCACAAACAGTACATACACTAACTCCCACTGTATTGTAAACATTGTCACTAGCATATCAAAATTTTCGAGCCTCTAAATTGAACTATCTGAATATAGATGCGTAGTCCAAGTAATTGCAGTTTTTATTCCGTAGTATATGTTGCGATATGTAATAAGTTCTCACATACACTTCATTTTCATTCTTAATGAATGTAGAGCGAGATGCGAATTTACATTAATACATGTTGCCACAACTCTTCACAGCGATATGAAATCAACGAAAATCGAAGTGTTACTAAAAATAGGAATGAATGATACTAAACATAGGATAATACGTTTAGACCAGTAGAACGTAGTGGATTAACTTATGAGATTTTTAGGAATGATGGTTCAGTTTTAGCAGTTATATTAACCAAAATCTGGGAACTAGATCTAGTCCCATCTGACTGGTCTCGATCTTTGGTCGTTCCAGTTTATAAGGAAGGGCAGAAATCCCTTTGTGGCAATCGCAGAGGAATCGGTTTAACAAATATATTGTCTAAAATATCAGCCTCGATAATACTTTGATGTTTAACTATAGAGAAAACCAAACCAACTGTTCACCCTTCGGCAGTTTCTGGGACATAGACACTTTTCGCTGTTTGACGATAGTTGTATTCCTTGACCTTAAAATATCGTTCGACTCCGTTGATTGTGAGGTTCTGTGGCAGTGTCTACTACTGAAACATGTACCAATGAAGCACATTAACATTATAAAGGTTCTTTACTCGAACACCACCGGTCGATTCAGAGTTTATGATGAACTTTCATCGAAATTGAATATTTTAAGTGGTGTTCGTCAAGGTTGTTCGCTTTCCCACTGCTATTTAAGTTTCTTATAAATATGCTTTTACAGATCGCTCTCATCACCTGACTTTTCAGGGAATGATGTATTTGGAAGTTCACTTGTTGACATTGAATAGGCAGATGATATAGTTTTGTTTGGTGAAGATGCTGACAAAATGCAAAATATTCTGACCACCTTAAGCAACAATCCAAGCATGTTTGGCACGCATTCAGATGTCTGGATTGGATTTCGCCAACTTGCGGCACTTGTGGCGTAGGTGAGATATCCATATCCCAATCAAGGGGCCAGTTTACTGCTCAGTAGTTCGCTTCGTTCTACTTAATGGGTGTGAAACATGATGATCCAGAGTAAGGATACTCGTAGGTTGCTGGTATTCGATAATCAGTGTCTATGAGGCATTGCTCGTGAATTTTGAGGCCACCTAGTTTGAAATTCTTAATTTAGGAATAGAGTACTAGGTTAAGATTGGAAATCGATTGATAAGGCAGTAAATCTCCATCAACCGAGGTGATTGGGACATATGTTGCGTATGCTCTACTACCTCCTACTTCGACGGAGAACGTATTCTGGTGCACGATTAGGCTGGAAGAAAGCTAAAGGCGGCCAAATCATAACATGGTATCAGTCCATGAAGTCACTGACAGTTCGACTGACCTATGTTGATAGACCACCTGGATAGGGTCCGTGTAATTATCATAACCAATCGTTAGAGAGTTTGAATGATGGCTCAAAATCTCTTGCGTTAGCACAGGTGCATCTATCATTTGTCTTCTCCCGAATTCCTCATAACTTTTTGTCAAACAAACTAATTAATGTATTTATAACAATCTACCCAATGCTCAATTTATTCGAAATTATCAAATCAAACCTTAGTAATGATACTTGTATAACTTTTTTTGTCTCACGAATTCGTATTTTTTTCAAATCGTGTCTTGGATTCCTAATACTTCCTGTTACCACTGATATTGTTCCTGACCGTTGCTGCTACCTAGAAGTGGTGGTTGGGCTTGCCTATCGTGATGAACCCATCAGGCTATACTAGATGGGATAATTGTTTATCAAGGTCCTACCATGTCAGACACGTTGGTTGAAGAACGGTAAGACCAAAACTAGAAAACTCAAGGTGCGAAGGCTAAATCGTACTACTGACTGCACAGAGTTGTGACGGAAGTAAAGTGTTTCCCTCAGACAACCGGCATAACATCGATGCTGCCTTCCCACAAAGGAAGGACTGGGTTAGGAGAGGTCAACCCTAAAAATTTTCACCTCACCTTATTACACGCATTTTTGTCTCCGACGATAAGGTTTCAACAATTACGGGACCAACATGAAAATTGCCCGGGATCATACAGCTGTCCCTTGGGTACTGCCTTCACCCTCTCGGATCACTAAAACCAACTTTCGTTCCATTTCCTCTCCAGGTACTCCTAGAAAAACCCATTGGGTGAGAAACCGGGATGGGATAATCGCCCTCATATCTCTAACAGCACTCAAGATTATATAGCGACTCACGTGCAAATGGGTTTATTTTCATTTAACCCAGTTAAGCCCTTTTTGTTAACTTATTTAGCGGACAAAGCCATCTGCGCTATAGCAATGTATTGTATCCTTATTATTATTTTGAGCTTGTATGAAATACGTATGCTTGAATATTGATTACTGCCTACGCATTTATTCACTCTGCTAGTCTTACTATTAACCGCTTATTCGATTCGATTACTCATTCATTTCACATGGTATATACATGTCCATGTTATTCATATTGAACACACAATCGCTCACTCGCTCGCACGGTCTCGTCACGCTCTTGCTCTGGCTCTCGTTCGCTTGCTTGCCTTTCGGCACAACTCTCCTATGCTTGTTTAACACATCTGTACATTTGGATATATGTGTGTGGTTTCGCAATAAACGTAATCGACACTTCGTATTTGCCTTCTGATTAATATACCGTTGGTACGTTATATAGAACGGTTATCACGACGAACTGTATACGAAGTTTAAGGATTATATCAAATACCGACCACCACATAATTGGCGATCCCGACGCGCGAACACGAAACAATCTTGAACGACGTAATCCAATTCCTAAAATCCAACGTACTCGATTACAATTGTAACTATCATTTGGATTATAATTATAACTGTGGATTTATTATCTCATTATTTTAATTATACGTACATTATCTCACAAACATTATAGAACATAACGATAATATTCATAATAAACAACGATATTTTTACAAACAATTGATATTTTGGTGCAATTTAGTAAGTCCGTTCTTTGTTATAAATTGTACCATTTGTTTTTATCATTGTTTTTATCGACTCACTTTTCTCTGTGACATTCGCATTATATTCGTGTACTTTTTGATCTTTATAAATATGTCCTTAAGTAACGATACAATAGAACTTTCCCAAACGCCGTCCGTGAGGTCCATTAATGTAACTATTCCTCCTTTTAAGGTCACAGATCCTCAACTTTGGTTTACCAGACTTGAACATTACTTTGTAGCTAATCGTGTTCATACACAGCGAGATAAATTTGGCCACGCGAGCTCGCTACTTCCAGATGAAGTAGCAGATAACGTACGAGAGATTTTAATCAAGCCAGACATAGAAAAGCCATACGACGCATTAAAACAGACAGTGATTAAAGCCGTCTCATTAAGCGACCGGCAAGCCATCGAACAGCTTCTCAGTCAAGTGCAGATAGGAGATAGGACTCCATCGCAGTTAAAAAACTATATGAGAAGCGTAATCGGAGACAGAAAAGTAGATAAAAACATATTTTATCAGTTGTGGTTACGACGACTCCCAGCGAACGTGCAGCAGATCCTTGCGGTTGAGGACAGCGATGTCGATATAGACAACATTGCTAAAATAGCCGATAGGATTTATGAAAGAATGAAACAAACGAGTCCGCAAGGGCATAGTACCACAATAGATGGACGAATCGATGCATTACAAAAGGAGATTAATGTTTTATGCCACAAGCTGATGAAACTAAATCAGAGCGATACGCAAAGAGGATGGTCACGAAGTAGATCGAGGGAAAGAAGTCGATCACGTTCTAGGAGACGCTCAGCTCCTATAATATGTTGGTACCATCAAACTTTCGGCGATAAAGCTCGAAACTGTAGATCACCATGTAAATTCAAACGAACACACCGATTGTCGATAACCGCCACAACAACTACAACAGCTCCTAGAAACAGTCGTTTATTTTACGTTCAGGATAGAGTAACAGGCGCTCAATTCTTAGTGGATACGGGAGCAGAAGTAAGCGTCGTGCCCCCAGTAAGTAACGAAACACGAAATATCGATACAGCGCTAACGCTTAAGGCAGCAAATAAATCCGATATAAAAACATATGGCAAGCGAAAAGTAACCTTGAATTTCGGTCGTACTACCTCATTCCGCTGGGAATTCATTATCGCAGATGTATCCGTACCTATAATCGGTATTGATTTCTTAAAGAATTTTGACTTACTAGTGGATACCCGACGAAACCAGCTCGTGAACGGCGACCATTCAGTAGTGATAAGAGGAGTGACGACTGATCACGCATCCATGAATTTAGTAGTGTCAAAAGACAAAAACGAGCCATATAGATCGCTTCTAAACGAGTATGCCGATCTGACGAAGGTATCATACGATAACAGAGATCTTAAACATACGGTACAGCACCATATTATAACGAAAGGTCCACCGACTAAATCAAGACCACGAAGGCTAGACCCGAAAAGGTTGAATGTCGCGAAACGAGAGTTCGAAAAGTTGACGAAGCTTGGTATCATAAGACCTTCTAATAGTCCCTGGGCGTCCCCATTGCATATGGTTTCGAAGAAGAATGGGGAAATCAGGCCATGCGGAGACTATAGAGCCCTTAACAAGCAAACGATAGCAGACAGATATCCGATACCACATATCCACGATATTACTACCAATATGGAAGGTGCCACGATATTTTCGAAAATCGATCTCGTCCGAGCTTATTACCATATTCCCGTAGTGGCAGAAGATATATCTAAAACGGCTATAACTACTCCATTTGGGTTATTCGAGTTTTTGCGAATGCCCTTCGGATTAACTAATGCAGCCCAAACCTTCCAAAGATTCATCGATCAGGTCGTCAGGGGTTTGACAGGAGTTCACGCATATATCGATGATATACTAGTAGCTAGCTCTACCAGAGAAGAACATCTACAACATCTACGACAGTTGTTTACGAGACTTCAAGAACATGGCGTCACTATTAACGTGGAAAAGTGTGAATTTGGAAAGGAATCATTGCAATTCCTAGGTCATATGATAAATTCACATGGTATCATGCCAGTTCCGACAGAAGTTGCTGCTATTCGTAATTATCCGTTGCCCGATTCACAAAGAAAATTACGAAGATTCTTGGGGCTAATAAACTATTATAGACGATTTATCCCAAACTGCGCAGCAACATTACAGCCATTGACGGACGCCTTGCGAGGACATACTCGAACATTCCGTCTTTCAGCGGATGCTATACAGGCTTTTGAGAACGCTAAGCGAGCGCTAAACGAGAAGATGATGTTGGTACGACGAAGGAACGAAGCGCCATTAGCAGTAATGACAGACGCATCGAACTTAGCAGTAGGAGCCGTTTTGCAGCAGTTAGTAAACGGTGTATGGGAGCCACTTTCATTTTTCTCGAAAAGATTAAATCCTACCCAAACGAGGTACAGTACGTTTTGGACGAGAATTATTAGCAATCTACTTGGCAATAAAACACTTCCGTCATATGGTCGAAGGCATAAGTTTTACCGTCTATACAGACCACAAACCGCTAACGAAAGCATTAAGCGCAAAGCAAGACAATTATTCCCCGAGAGAGATCCGACAACTAGAGTTCATTTCACAGTTCACGTCCGACATACAGTACGTTAAAGGACAAGAAAACGATGTGGCCGACGCATTGTCACGAGCAACGATAAGCACACTTATGGCAAGTGGAATCGATTATAACGGTCTAGCAAAGTTGCAGGAGAGAGACATCGAGCTAAATAAACTCAGATCCGGTGGTTCAACATCATTAGTACTCGAAGAGGTGCGGTTTGGTAACACGAAAGTAATTTGCGATACATCAACAGGCCGACCGCGACCATTTATCCCAAAAACGTTGCGACACAAAATATTCGAAAGCATGCACAACATGTCGCACCCAGGAATAAAAGCCACGATAAAGCTGATTAGTGAACGATTCGTATGGACAAACATGAATCACGATGTACGTAATTGGACACAAGCATGCATGAAGTGCCAAAAAGTTAAGGTACATCGTCATACTAGCTCTGCAGTAAGTCCGTTTTCGCACCCAGACACTAGATTTGAACATATACACATCGATATTGTAGGACCACTGCCCGTTTCAAATGGATACAACTATATCTTTACATGCATCGATAGGTTTACACGATGGCCGGTAGCAGTGCCGATAAAAGACATCTCAGCTGAAACGGTAGCTAAAACCCTAGTTGAAAATTGGATTTCTTACTACGGTGTACCAACGATTATCACAACGGATAGAGGAGCACAATTTGAAAGTCGACTCTTTCAGCAGCTTACAGAATTTCTCGGTATTAAACGAATCCGAACGACGTCGTACCATCCAATGGCAAACGGAATGGTTGAACGCCTACATAGGCAATTAAAAGCGTCCCTTACAGCCGTCATCGTTAACAACGATTGGTCTAATAAACTTCCCCTAGTAATGTTAGCCCTAAGAGCAACAATTAAACAAGACATGGGATGTTGTCCAGCCGAGTTAGTTTACGGAACTACTCTACGATTACCCGGAGAATTCTTCACTTCAAGTAAAAATGTCCCGACTGATGTAACCGGCTATGTGCAACGCCTGAGAAAGCACATGAGCGATTTAAAAATAACACTTCCCAGACCACAACAACGACGGGTATTCATACCACAGGAACTACATAACAGCTCTCACGTATTCATCAGAAGAGATAAAATACAACCACCTCTTCAACCGAGTTACGACGGACCATTTAAAGTGATAGAGAGGACAAATAAAACGGTTACCATAGAGAAAACTGGGAAGACAGATGTCATTAGCATCGATCGAGTAAAGCCAGCTTTCATCGATAGCGATAATCAATCAACAAGTACAGACTCATCTAAGATGGTCATACCAGCGAAACACGAGTCCCAAAAATCAACAACGTTAACGCAACAAAAAGACAAGACTCCGATAACAACAAGATCCGGCCGCAGAGTAAGATGGCCCCAGCATTATGTCGCTACAATTTTCTATTAATAATAATCTACTATTTGGAATATTAATTATAACTTCTACCTCATTGTATACACATGCATTATTAAGCTCATGTTATACGTTATAAAACTCAACGTATCTTATGTACCCTTACACTTATGCGTATAATTTTTGTTTAAAATGTAAAGACAATACCGCTTTCCTTCTATTTTTTGCTATTATTTTATGTAACCTCACGGACGGGCGCAAATCAAATGTACAGCACACAATAACTTCACCTTAATTTTGTATAAGCCATTTTTTCTACCCTATTCAGTCTACTATTTTTTTTATGCAAACACAGACATTTTCCATATATCTTTGTTTGCAGGGGGGAGCTATTATAGCGACTCACGTGCAAATGGGTTTATTTTCATTTAACCCAGTTAAGCCCTTTTTGTTAACTTATTTAGCGGACAAAGCCATCTGCGCTATAGCAATGTATTGTATCCTTATTATTATTTTGAGCTTGTATGAAATACGTATGCTTGAATATTGATTACTGCCTACGCATTTATTCACTCTGCTAGTCTTACTATTAACCGCTTATTCGATTCGATTACTCATTCATTTCACATGGTATATACATGTCCATGTTATTCATATTGAACACACAATCGCTCACTCGCTCGCACGGTCTCGTCACGCTCTTGCTCTGGCTCTCGTTCGCTTGCTTGCCTTTCGGCACAACTCTCCTATGCTTGTTTAACACATCTGTACATTTGGATATATGTGTGTGGTTTCGCAATAAACGTAATCGACACTTCGTATTTGCCTTCTGATTAATATACCGTTGGTACGTTATATAGAACGGTTATCACGACGAACTGTATACGAAGTTTAAGGATTATATCAAATACCGACCACCACAATTACCACTGCGTTCATAATCATTTTCCTTCTTCAGTTTCTATTATTCCTCCTGCTTCGACTTTCATCTATAAACTTCTCCAAGTGTCACCATAGCCAACGATTCTAGTGCGCGAAATACTGTCCCAAGTCTACTGAAATTCCTCTACAAACTACACATTGAAGCCTTCAATGTACGTAGCCCGTGTGAAGTCGGTCGGCAGCTTTCCTTGACTAAGACCATAAGATCTCATACGATTGATGTATGCTGTCTCCGAAACACGCGTACGAGATCCTAGTGTATTCATTCATTTGACCTTACCTCGCCAAAACGGAGAGCCGACGAGATACACCCTCCGTGTATCTGGCGACCCGATGGCTAGTTCTCGTGGACTGGCGGGTGCAGGTATAGCACTAAGTTCGAGGACAGAACAAGCACTATTAAGATGGATCCTGTTAGCAGTCTTTTATGTGCTCCTCGATTAAACAACTCCGTAAGAATTCGGAAGGGTAGAGACGAACGTCGTTTCTGCCTACGCTCCCACTGACCGCAGCTCGAATAAAGTGAAAGATAACTTTTACAGAAAGCTTTCTGAACTTCTTCAGAAAGCTAGACGCTCAGACATAGTACTCGTAGCAGGTGACTTTAATGCCCAGGTAGGTAGCTTAAACCAAACAGAAAGACATTTAGATGGGTGTTTTAGTATTACGGCTCATCGAACAGATAATGGTGACCGTCTGTTGCAACTGTGCTTAGACAATCGTTTATTTTTGACAAACACAAATTTCAAGCATAACGAGAGACATTGTCTAGCATGGCGACCCTCTGCCACAAACCAACGATGAACTCAAATAGACCATATTGCCATCAGTCATCGTTGGAGAAGTTCGACAGAAGACTGCCGATCGTTCTGGAGTTCATGTTTCGACTGTGATCATGCTCTAATACGAGAATGCATTTGCTCGCGCCTCACTGAACGCAGAAAAGCCACACTAAGAAGACCCATTATAATTGAATTGAATGACGAGAAAGTCGAAAGTCGATTCTAGGAACAACTGAGGTCACATTTAGGCAATTCTGAAGACGAGGCTGACCCAGGTGTTGCTTGAAAAGATATACAAACAGCTGTGGAAACTGCAGTGACATCTATTAGTGATTTGAACCAAAGGGTTACGAAAAACCATCAACTCGTCCCATTAGGCTCTGAACATGATGACGAGTGAAAACAAATCAGATCTAGGCTAACCAGAAGTCTACGGAACGATCGTGAATAGTGGTGGGCACCGAAAACAAAAGAGATTGAAAAGACAGCAGCTGTAGGTAACACCAGACAGCTTTTCAGACCAATAAAAGAAACTGGAATTAATAAGTCAAGTGTAAGTGAAAAAACACGGCACTATTATGTGCTCTCATTCCAGACATTTAGAACGATGAGTGGAACATTTTAATGAGCAGTTCAGCTACTTTACAACCACAAACCATTCCCAGACAGCCTGAACGGAACATTAAAGTAGGTCTTCCGACTCTAACTGAAGTTCAAAAGGTTATAGCTAATCTGAAACGAGGGAGGGCATCTGCTACAGATGGATTGGCTCCAGAAGTCTTTAAGAATGGTGGTCCAATTTTAGTGATTAGGTTGACTAATATTTTAGCTAAAATCTGGGAGTTAGACGTTATCCCATCTAACTGGTCGCAATCACTTATCGTCCCAATATATAAGAAAGGGTCAAAATCATCCTGTGACAACCACAGAGGGATTAGTTTAACTAACATAATATCTAAAATACTAGCCTCGATAAGTATCTGTCGCCTAACTAAGACACGTGAACTGCAAACACGAGAAAATCAAGCTGGCTTCAGACCTGGTCGTGGCTGCATCGACCACATATTCACCGTTCGTCAGGTTCTGGAAGACAGGCATAATTATCGGCGTCCGACAATTGTGGTCTTTCTTGACTTAAAAGCAGCTTTGACTCCATAGACCGCGAGATTATGTGGCAGTGTCTGTCATTGAAAGGCGTAGCTCAGAAGTACATAAACCTTGTGAAGGCTCTTTACTCGAACACTACCAGTCGAGTCAGAGTTTATGGCGAACTGTCATCGACTTTTGCAACCTCAAGTGATGTCTGTCAAGGCTGTCCACTTTCTCCATTTTTGTTCAACTTCATCATAGACCTATTGATGGAAATAACATTCTCGTTGACTGAATTTTCGAGCATTGATCTCCTTCCAGGAGGTTCACTTATCGACTTAGAATATGCAGATGATATAGTCCTGTTTGTTGAAAACTGATAAAATGCAGAGTCTTTTGGTAGCACTAAGCAACAATGCCAGTATGTTTGGAATGCGTTTCTCTCCCTCTAAATGCAAGTTGTTGCTTCAGGACTGGTCTGCGTCAACACCTGAACTAAGGATAGGGAGTAAAGTAGTAGGACACTTTGAAACCTTCACTCATCTTGGAAGTCTGATCAGCCCTAATGGGTATCTGACGAAATCTCGGCACGGATTCGAAAGGTTCGTTTGGCTTTTGCCAACTTGTATCACCTACTTCAAAGGTGAGATATTCGTCTCTCAATAAAAGGACGAGTATACCGGGTGATAGTTCGTTCTGTTTTACTTTGAGGTTGCGAATCAAAGCCATCAAGAGCAGACGATATTCGTGGGTTACCAGAATTTGATCACACATGCCTTAGAAATATTGCTGGCATCTACTGGGATCACCGGGTAAGTAATAGTGAGGTTAAACTCAGGGTATTAAGGAATGATGGCAAGTCATTTGATGAGGTTGTGAATCTTCATCAACGGAAATGGTTAGGCCACGTGTTGCATGTGCCTGAAAACCGGTTACCACAACACACAATGCTGACTAGTGTAGGAGATGGTTGGAAAAAAGTTAGGGGCAGCCAAACCAAAATGTGGCATCAGTGCTTGAAGTCACTAACTTCTAGTCTGAGCCATATTGGTAGATGCAGACTACGCGGATGGGGTCCGCGTGACTATCGTAACCAATGGGTGGAGACTGTGGGTGACATGGCTCAAAATCGATCACAATAGCGTAGGTGTATATACTCTTTGACTTCCCTTAAACCATGAGATTAAAACTACTTTATATCTTTCTTTCTACGGACTAATTTTTTCTTCCTGTACCATATCCTTATTATTTTTCTGGTTAGCTTGGGACCGGTAGTAACTCTAGAAGAGCTACAGGTCCTCAAATACAACACGGAGAACACCAATCTAATCACTCCTGGTGGCGAAACTATGGAAGATGTAGAATCCTTCGCGTACCTGAGAAGCATCATCGATGAACAAGGAGGATCGGATGCAGATGTAAAGGCGAGGATTGACAGAGCAATGGCCGCATTCCCTACGATCGAAAAACATATGGAACTCAAAACAACTTTCAACCAATATCAAAATCAGAATCTTCAATACGAAAATCAAGACAGTTATACTGTACGGAGCTGAATTGTGGAGAACTACTACAACTATCATCAAGAAGGTACAAGTATTTATAATTTGTTGTCTACGCAATATATTCAACATCCATTGCCTGGATATAATCGGTAACAGCCTTCTGTGGGAGAGAACAAACCAGCTTCCAGCTGAAGAAGAAATTAGGAAAAGACGATGGGAATGGATAGGATATACATTACGCAAATCATCAAACTGCATCACGAGGCAAGCCCTAACTTGGAATCCTGAAGGGAAGCGGAAAAGAGGAAAGCCGAAGAACACATTACATCGGGAAATAAAAGCAGATATGAAAAGAGTGAATAAAAACTTGAAAGAGCTGGAAAGGATTGCCCAGGACAAGGTTGGATGGAGAGTGCTGGTGGACGGCCCATACTCCTACACGAGAGGTAACAGGCGTAAGTAAATAAGTAATCGTATCCTTATATGAAATGTTAATTTTGTGCTACCATTGAGGTAACTGTGTCCATAAATTTCGTGTTGATCTTATACTAATGAGGTGTAGCAACTTGAGCCGATGCATATATGAGTCTAGCCCTACATTGTTGCTGACTGACTGATACTGACATTACCTCTACTATCCTGGGATTTGTCGTGACAACTTCATCCTTCTGTGCTAATGGGGTATGGGAACTTGGATCGATGTACATACGTACAGATTCTTCGTTGTGATTGACTCTTAGATCTTGTTTTATAACCCCCAAGTAATGCACAATAAACTGGTTCGCAGTATGCTCACCATTTGAGGTCATCCAAATTAGCAAAAGATAAGCAAGCTTTCTAAACTTACTCTGAGACGCTTTGAGCTATCAATCCATGTGGGCTGATGAGACTTCTAAAACAAGTAGCGCTGTTGACCTCCTCGACTGTTTCTTTATCATTAGTTTAGAGAGTTGATGCAAATAAATCTTGAGTCAAAATTGTAAGGTTAAAAGGATAGAAGTGTATCGCAAATATGTTGTGTCATTCCTGAATCTGTTCAGAAGTCTTTAAAAACTGGTCTTCATCAAGCGGAACTGTTGTTTACGTATTTTAAGTCATCGAATGTGTTTCGCGTTAGGTGATCACCCTTCAAAAAGTCTGACAAAGTTAAGTAAGTGTGGGAATCTCTGATGACGTTGCCTATTTTGATGCCAATTTTTTATAAAGCCTAACATTACGGTTGTCATTTGAATAAAAAGCCAACAAATTTAGGTAATTTTATAGCAGACTATGCTTCTATGAAACCACTTAATCAATATAGTCATGTGTTGCATTGAGGTCTTGGAACACGTTCATGTCTGGGTACCAGTCGTTATGTATGTCCGAAAGCCTGATGAAAGATTTAGCAAACACATCTAAGTCTAGGTATGGATCCTACTAGCTTTCCAGGTGTTTGCTTTTCTGAAGCTCCATGTAGTGATTGGAAGATTGTGGAAGCCAATATTTTTGTCAGTGTTTGCTAAGTGGAATCCTCTGTTATTGCTGCAAAAGGATTTCGACATTTTTTTCAAGGTGGAACGATTAAGACCAGTCAGATAGAATCACTCACAGCTCCAAAACTGTAATTAGTATCTTAGCCGCCTTAACTGGCAGTAGTGAACTACTCTCTTTGAAGGGTTCTAGAGTTAATCTATCAGGTAATTCTCTTCTACTTTGCTTCTAGTTAGATATGGATTTTTCAACCTCACTAAGGTTTGGAGGACTCATGTGAATCTCCCAATATGATTGGTTGAGATGAGTTGGGTAATTAAAGATTAGCTAACGGGCTTCTGGGTATTTGCTTAAGTTTTTATGGGCTTCTTTCCAATCTCCTGAACTAAGTGTTGATCATTTCATGTGAAGTTAGACCGTTAAAGCATACCAAACAATGTCAGATCATCGTATAATTATGACTTCAAATTGTTTAAGTTCATATTTATGGGGACACCACAATCAGTTCAAAATGTTGTGTCGTAGACGCATGAATTATTTGGAATAGCAGGATAGTTATATGTGACCTTTGACCGTAATAGAGTTTGATGGCTATAAATATCCACATTTTAATACTTTATTTATTCAATTAATGAATTCGAATTGTTTTTTAAGTAGTGTAAATTAATTATGTAAAATGTGTACCTTGGTTTAAAGTCTTCGATTTTAATCCATGAGTTATCAAATTTCACGTATTTCGGCCGGAATTCGGGGACATCTTGTTCTCTAATAGGAAATATGCCATCGTTTAGTTCTATTTGTTTCCTTGATAAACAAAATACTGAAATTATTAGAGAAAATATATCTTCACCAATCACAATATTTGCTTGTTAACTTTTCATCAATAAAGTAACTTTATCGCCTGTAATCAGATAAATAATTTCAGAAGGGGTTTTGTGGAGATTTTAGTAATTTCAACAGTTGAGATTATGAATCAAGTGAAGCTAGATCACCATGGGAAACCTGGAAGTACTGGACGGCCATTTCGTCCTATTGTGGGACTCGTCAGCAGTGCTCATCCTTTACCCCGCCTCACGGAGTTCAACAGGGTCAGTTTTGAGATAGTAACTCACTGATGACAATGGTGGATTTGTTGCTCAACTTTGTGGAGTGGTTGAAGTTAGACATTAACACAGTTGGATGCAGAAACATCAATAATCGATGACTTTGAGATCACTTGTATACCTTTATTTAGTCAATATGCATAGCATTAAAAAGTTTAAATTCGATCCGATAAACAAGTAACAGGAATCTATGAGTGGAATTCATCTGTTATTTTTGCCAAATTAATTACGAGTCAAAATAACTTGGTATATATATAGCTGATGTGAATATCACTGTTTAGAATGCTGGGTTGACTATGTAATAACCACGTGGATTCTTAGTGTCATAAAATTTGCTAACATTTGTTATATAGTATACGCTTTTATTTGTGAATGAAAATTACTTGAGTAGTTTCTATGTTCGAGGGATTAAAATAACAACAAACACGCAACTCGTGCGCATATATACAATACAAAAGTGTCACAAAATAGTGTACTAAAAGAGAAAACTAACCAGTGATGTTTAAGTTTCTTTCAGGTGGGAAATACAAACTAATAGTAAAATGGGTGCTTTTGGCTAGAGAATGATAGGTTTAAAATTTCCATTAATAAATAACAAAAATGATAAGTTTATCCACTAATTTCTGGGAATCTAGCATTCTCTGAAGTAGTGCAATGGCAACATGACTGGAAGCCTTTTTATATTATAGATCTTTCTCTACGGATACTTCAAAACTAATTCACTTATTTCTCTCTGAATGACTTAGTTTTAAGCACAATGGCATGTCATCAGTTAATAAGAAAGTTGTCAATACATATTCTGTGATTCATTAAAAAGATATGACTTGTATAGTCTAGCTCATCTATTATTCTTTGTTGTATTTTAAATGAGAAAAAGTCAAATGTTGTTAGTGAATTAGGAAGTCATTGAATACTGTTGTGATTGGCAATAACCAACTGTAAATAAGATATACTACTAATAAAACTTGATTTGATTTAACAGTCTATAAAATACATTGAATCTTTATTTGTATATAAAGAAAAATTTCAAATAATTACTTCGTTAATCAAAGATACGACTATATAGATTCAATGTATTATTCTGTTATATTGCACAGATTAAATTAACTTCTTTTTCTGCTAATAAATGTTTATTTATGAATGTATAACTTATTCACTTACTTCGACATTTTGTTGAATTTTTCAAATTTTAATGGTTTTTCTGAAATTTCACTTATTCTCACTTCACTTCTCATTGTATTCTGTTGTGGAACTGGAATAATGATGTAACCAGCTTTACGTAAATGATCAATAATTGTCTCTCCACTTCCTATAAAATGTGCTGTAAAATATAAAAACAAAATAGATAAATATTGGAAATAAACATTTTCATTATTTTAACAATAACAATTAATTCTCTTAATACAAAGATCTTTCATAAATTCAATACTTTCGATCGGAAATATTACCTAGTAAGTTCTCTTCTACAGGACCATATAAGTTTATGGTATGTACAATTTTTATTTACAAGTTATGATATTAAAATTGAAAATAAGGATAAATAAATTGATAGTTGTAGGCATGGAGTATGCTACTTATGTTGACAGACATAAGTAGTATGTAACATCAATCAGAAGTGGGTTATCTGTGAACAGAAGGTTGAGAAGATTGAAATAAAGAGAATAAAAAAAGGAACTGGTAGCAATCAAGATTACAACAATGATGAAGGAGCAATCATGTATTTAATATATATATCCCAATGAGTATAAAAGTTGCATTTATCACGTTTCGTGACTTAATGTAATCCACTTCAGAGTAAATAAAATTTGTGATTTTCAAATTTTGCTAAGCCACTGTGTGATTGTTTATTCTACCTCAAAGTGTTCATTCACTACTTAGGGAGTGAATTATAATGAATACATTGATAACTTGAATCAAGTTATAGGTAGAATTATATTCGGAAAAAGAAAGTCAGAGTAAATGTTGGCAACTTAGTTTGAGAATAAAAGATTATTAAGGGCCAGATGATTGAAAAATAGTCATTTGATGAATGAGCCAATATGAATCAGATAAAGGATGGTGGAAAGTGGAGTAAGTGATGAGAAAATTGTTCAACTATGTGAGAAACAGTGAAATTTGGAGAATTTCCTTTGCAGAAATATAGAATTGGGAAAAATGAAGTATATCAAGTTATTTGAAATCCTTGGAAACCTACTGAATATAAAACGAGACAAGGTAATGAAAAAGTTGAAACCAATTTCGAGTAGTCATCGGCACTGGTATTTAAAGGATTTTTACTAGCGGCTCAGTTTTGTTGTCAAGGCGTTTACAGAGTTTCGAGATCAGTTTCTAATTTCTAATAAAGAAAATATTCGAAGTAAGAATCATTTTTTGATCAGTATGTGATAATCAACTTCATTCTGACAGTCCTAATATGATTTGGGATCTTAATTCTAGGCCGGTATCATGTTTTTATCTCAAATTAAATAGTGTGAAAGAACTTCAAATTTTGACTTAATTTGATTATTTGTTGGAAATTAAATGATCCAAATAAAAATAATATAAAGATTTTAGTGATAGTTCATCTTTTACTAGTGTTAATTAGCGGTGATTTTAAATGCTTGTTAAGTTGATTTCGTTAAAAGTTCTCCTATTTAAGTAGAAGCCTCAAAATTATGTGAGCATAATTACGTGGATTGTGGCATCGGAAAATCATGACTTCAGTCCCATTGGAGGTTATCAGTGATTAACGATAAACATATAAAAAATTGAAGGAAACATTATTCTGTTATTTAAATTGTTTTTTCATCTGTTACTTTTCTTAGTTAGTGTTGATTTTAAATTTATGCAAAAAAAACAAGACCGTATTTTAGGTCCAGGGAGGAGAAATGCATGAATAAAAGGATAATATTTAGTTTAATGTGACTGATTGGCGGTAACTAAGGAACCATTAAAATTACAAATAACTGGGTGGATGTTTCGTCGTGATTTATAAATCTCCAGCAGTAAGGAAGCTTATTTCACCAGGAGGCGAACTCAGGATCTTTAGCTTTTGAGGAGAGCACCCAACTTTAAAACTAATGAAATGCAATCCAATAATTACACTCGAGATAATTACACACGAGATCGAATCCGCCAGGGAGCACCAGTTCCCTCAAGATTACACGTACACCTTGCTGACGAGTGCCAAGTTGCACGAAACCCGGGTCCAGGGTTTCCTGTTGACTACCTCCAACCACCATCTAAGCTCAATACATAGTGCCCGCAGTGTCGAGTCACCTAGACTGGTGGCCACATTGCAACATGATCGATAGCATTCGATCTGCACTAATAAGGACTAGACAAGCATGAGATTGATCACCACCCAGTGATCAATCAATTGTGAATAATTACACTCTCAATTTCTACTGGTTTTTGGCATAGCGCCACTGTCATCAGTAATGATTATTTCGCTCCCCACACGGTTGAACTCCACTGGTGATAACTTCTCATCAGAGCTTCGGTAGTCTATCTTGAAATTTGTCACTATGTGAACACAACTATTAATTGATTGGATAGAATATGGATATAGATTTAATGAGACGTTATATAGAGATAAATTGTTTCAGTGTAGGATGAAGAAGCAATCCAATCGTCTCTTTTTCTGTTTGTTCTCTAAATAATGTCAAATCGCGTTCGGAAACACCTTTACACTGAGACAGTGAAATCTAAAAAAAACAAGGCTACATTACCTGCGCCTAATGCAAAAAATGCCGATTGATTTAATGATTCAGCAAGTTTTAATTTACTGATTATCTCATGAGCCATTCGCTCATTACGTCTAACTATCAGTTCTTCATTTAAATACTTCTCCAAATCAATAAGCGTTTGAACTTGACTTGGGCTTAACAAGTTTGCTATTTCTTTGTCAATGAAGTAACTTGATGTTGATTGTGATGATGTTGATGATTGGGTACGAAAACTATGTGGTTTCGAAATGTTATTCACCTTATTGGGAAATTTCTGTTGTTGTATTGTGGCGTTTTTACGAATCATAGTAACAGGAGAAATTGTATTTGTTTCATTCATTGTTGTAGTGTAATCTGACGACGAAGTTGACAATAACACAGAATCTGATGGTGTAGTTTGGGTTAAAGACATTCTAGATAATGTTTCATTCAAATCACCGCAATTATAATGTTCAATTAATCGTTCTGTTGGACTACTGAATACATCTGTTTGTTGAATTGGTCTACGTTTTTGATTAGTAATTAATGTATCATTTATTTGTTCATTCCATGTATTGAATAAAACTTTCGTGTTTGATGGGTATTTATTATTGCTACTGCTATTATGACTACTCACACGATCGTTATGATTAACGTTGTTAAAATAGTTAGTCAAATGTTTCATAGGGTGATTAGCATTTTCTAAGTTATTCAATGTTATTTCAAGTGCAAATGTTACCTGAAATAAAAGTTGATATAGTAAAACTTATGGAGGAAAAAACTTCATGAGAAGCAAAAAATATTAATATTGTCTGATTTACTCTTTTAAATTAAAAATTGGAGTTTGACTAGTAAGTAGTAACCAACATTGTGTTTACTTATTACTTAGCGTTGATTAGGTTGGAATATGGTCACCTGTCAAAGTGATTCGACATGATGTGCACTATATCTGTGTGTAAAATGGTTCGACGGAATTAATAAGAAGCCATCGACTTATGTTTCATGGTAGTTGGCACGCTTCGGTCAGGTATGTCTGCAGTTTTGTAGAAAGAAATACTTTGGTGGAGTTTTGTTCTCTGAGCTGGATGGTTTGGTCGTGGAGCTTTCATTGTTCTTCTGAACGACATCATCAGCACAAACTCCACCAAAATCATCCACCTGAGCTACAAATCTTCTCCACCATCTCAAAGAAATACTCTTCGTGCGGTTGGAACCTACGTCATTTAGTGTTCTAGTCAGATATATCACAAGTAATCTATTGCAGTTGATTAATTGTAACCTCTCCCAAAGTCTTTGATACCATGTCATTGATTTATATGTAAGCATCTTTTAGGAAAAGACGTTGTGATTTGTGCTAGTGATGTCAACAGATATAAGTAGTATGTATCATCAGTCGGAAGTGAAATGCCTGGTGATAGGAGGTTAAGAAGATCGAAGAAAATAGAATGAGAACAGAGAATGACTGGTGTGTAAACGAAGAAACAATGAAGTCTGAGACGATTGATTGGTATTTTGCAAATGAAGTATTTACTATATGGTTCTCAGATTTTACCAAGATATTCTACAATGTTTCACTGAGATACATTTGGTTGTCTCCACTAGTGTCCTCGTTCACTACAAGGTGAATATTCAATATTTAACTAGAGGTGTTAGTTTAATGCTACACAAGCCTATATAAATACATATAGTCATATCTAATACATTAGGGATCATATGTATCCATATTCTGAAGGGGATTCACAGTTTCATGTCGACGTTATCATCACTTTACTTGTTGATTTTTAAATAAACCGTTGATTTGATTGCGCTATCGAAAAAATATTCTATTTCACATCGTTTCAGTTATCACTAATTAACGTGTATTAATGAGAACTCACTTAAAAGGGAACCAGGAAAATTGTCGACATGAGTTTATTTTATCTACTTTCAAGTAACATTCGTATGATAAAAAATTTGGTAAATATGTAATATCAGTGTTCTCATCTTTTACAATTGCCTATCGAACTTGCCGTCATAAGTATTATTTACTCAGCTCTTCATAATTAAATTTATTAATAAATGTTATAAATATTTTGACCATACTTTGAATAGAGAACAGCAGTGAAATTCAGAACTCATATTTTATCTTGTTTGGGACTAACCGGTTAAGCGTATCTGGACACAGGTTGATTAAACTCAATTCTCAATGTTAAAAACAAGAATGTGTTAGCCGTTACAACTTTTCACCGTTTCTGTTTTCCAAAACATAAATTACAAGTTGTTTTCCTATCTTATCAACTCTTCATATTATATCATCACATTTTACCAGTTACAGTAGAAGTCAAATTATTCCATGTTCTTACCTAAAATAATTTTTTCTCAACGGGATATTCTCATAGATTTCTGTTAAACGCCTATAGACTAATTAAATAAATTTCGTTTGGTTAAAAATGAACGATTGACGTAATAGTACTGTTGATAAAACGGTACGGAATCCTAAATACACTACATCATATATTAGAATGAATAATATCTATCAGGTTTGTGGTTTGCAATTAATATTTCTATACACTTTTTAAAAGACTATTGTGCTTCAGTAACCTATATCTTCTTTATATAGAAGGATTTATTGACATGTAGTTTCTTATTAAAATATTGTATTCCATCAAAAAAAGGCTGGATTGTCCTATTTGTTATCTTGCAGTATTTTTTAAGGTTAAATTCCTTAGTAACTAACTCTTTAGTTGAAGAACTTATTTAATTCATCCATAATCCTGAACATTGTTGAGCGAGGCAAAGAAACTAATCATTGGATTTGTGGGGATGGCCCACGGGTAAACTCGAGGAAGCTCTGAAAGAACCGAAGACATTCCATCTAAGCACCTGTTGGTGGAACATTCCAGAATCTCGACGTGTAGCTTCTCCATTGGACAAAAGCTAAAGGTCACTGTATGCAGATTGAATGACTATGATGATGTTTTCGTTTTTAATTAAAAACTATAAATATCTGAGAGTTTTGTACCATATTTAATACTGTTTGGAACAAAATTCTTTTTCACTCGTCTTCTATCTTCTTATTTGCGACTAGGAGGGTTCTAGCGTTTGGATGCTTAAGCAGTACGCAGTATATCACGAATCTAAGCTCTAAATTTAACAGAATTTTCACCAATATTAGTTAAGGGTTGCATACATACTAAAGATATACGAAATTCACTGGATATTGACTTATGCTTTATTTCTCTTCAGTATTGCACTACTTGTATTGACCATACAATACAACATGAAAGTTAAATTAAATGATTAGAAATTCTGCTTCACTATTTACTATTAGGTGGATGAGGGATGTTAAGAACATTGATATTTTACAAGTTAAGGTTGATGAAGTTAGAAATTAATGTTACTAAACATTTTAGTTAGAAGTCATCAGTTTTATTTGTATTTCTCACACAAAACATTCTAATTATTTAACCTCGATAAGTAAATTTAATAATAGAGTTTAACTGATATATTACTGTACTAACCGTAAAACGATTTATCTTATCATTAAATAGAACATTGAGAAACAAACTTATACAAATATATAATTACCTGATGAACATTTATTCGATTTAATGGTTCACATTGGTCATTTACTTGTTCCACTGCACCATGTTGTTTACCTAGTCGTTGGGCTTCTTGTGCTAGAAATAAATCCAGTACGGGTACACCTCGATCGAATATTTCACTCCTGGTTAAACTATTTAATAATAATAAAAGCCATATAGGTCTTTTTTCTTTCCAATCTTTTGTCAATGTCTCATATAGATATGATGCAAAAACTTTCTTTTCAGGTTCAATCCATACACTAATCATATGACGAAGGTTATTTAAATATCGATCTAAACGTTTAATTAAGTCTGGTTTAAGTAGATTTGTGATTGTTTGATTTTTAGGTAACACTTGGCAATCACTCAATTCAGCTAATGTAACGGGATTAGTTAAATCTAGTTCAAAATAGACAATATCTGATTGAGCAAAACTTGTTTTTACTACAGGATCAATTTGTGACCAAACATGTGTATAAGCTACATGTAATGTACCAAAAAGGAATGAAGTTGGCTTAGTGGAAATTTTCCATAGGAATGTATTTTTTTGTTTCGAAGTACTCTAAATTATGAAAAGAATAATAAATAAATCAGATAAATGTTAGTTTCACATAGTTCTCAACAAAGTAAATCTATGAAGTTTTATGCTTAAGAGTGTTCTGTACATTTAATGTAGAAAATTCTTATTAGGAGAGTTTAAGTTATTTAATTACTTAAAGTTTTATGTGTCAGATAATAGTTCTAAATCACTTGGATCGGCCAAGTTATGTTGCGAGTGTGATTAAAATACCAGCATATGATCGTGTATTAAGTTGTAATTTTTAGAATGTAAGGGTATTCCTACCATATATTTAAGTGCTGTATATAAAAGTTTACCAAAGATGATTGTAACAATTTGCTCTACTTAGTGATATATAAGTTGATAAAGATCAAATAGCGTAGAAAATTAAGAGGTAGTAGTTGTTCTTGTTTAAAATTTTAGTGGAATATTTTTCGGTTGTGTTAGGTTCATAGACTTTACGTTACTGTAAATAGGGTATTGACCATGAGTGTCGTCTACAAAATTAGTTTTGAAGAACATTTAGTTCAAATTGGTTCTCGAAGAAACAATCCATTAGATTATTCAGTTTACCAACAATTAATAACAGTTTTTGACAACTTACCACTGAAGTTGTAGTGTATTGTAATGATTTATGAAGTGAACCAAGATGGAAGTGGAAAAAGGCAGTTTTGATAATGTTTAAGACACTAAGAACACTCTATAATTGGAGAATACTAACGATTCTATAGCAGAACAGTTAATGAGCTAGGAATCTTGGTTCCGGAGATAAGGGGCTATAAATAACTAATTAATGGTAAATTGGAAATGAACACAATCTTTGATTTTCTTTGGCTTCCTATGACATAGATTATATTGTTACCATTTTTAGCCTTAATCCTAATGAAGATACCAGTTTTACTGATTATAAATCAGTTCTAGATGACGATCTAATCAATTATAGGAACTGCTTGTTAAAAACTATTATTCAAATCATCAAGATGTGAAAATGAAATAATTGATGGGTATACTTTGTTGAAAATATTATTTGCTAGAATTAATATTATTCAATTACTACTATCTGTTTCCGCTCTTGTTAGGTTATTGAGAAGTAATGTATATCACTTTACTTATTTTTATTACAAACTAAATTGTATTGACTAGGATTAAAAAGTAGGATTAATTACTGAATAGTTTGATGGAGTTGGTAAAATTTCATATTCTGTTACTATACTTTTCTGCAATCCCTCTCAAGATACTGGGAATCACATTATGGACTCGAACTACGTCAAATGCTTTTAGATGAAAAGGTAAGATTTCTATAAAATAGCTCACTTTAAAGGTTTGCGTTTAGAACGCAGCGCGACAGTTTCAAAATTTGAAGTTATATGCTTAGTTATGATTCAACAATTATGAATTAATTCTATGAATTTATTGTACTAACGAACTTGGGTTTGTTGCTTATTCGGTTTTGATTTTGTTTTATGACAAAGTTTATATTATCACATTTTATAAAGAAAACTAATCCACCATTTTATCAAATGGGATTTCATTTTTAATATATTTACCATGAAGTGACATCATCTTGTTTAAAGCCAGAGGGCACTATAAACGTGTTTCACCTAGTTTGTAATTCAAGAGCATACACATATATTCGAATGCTGGAATAAACCGAGGAACTTCGATATTGTTATGGAGCAACATACTTATAAGCAACTGAGTCCTAATTTTGTAGATAACATTTCCAAATTCGATCATTCCAGAAGTAAGCGTGATATTTATTAAATATCACTGGTAGTGACTTTCTCATTTTTAATATAGCTGAACTTCATCAGTAATCGGTGCTCCATAGTTTATAGTAAAGCATAGTAACATAATGTTTACTACACCAAAGGGCGGAAATAGAAAATTTAATAGGCAAATACTGGTTTCGTAATTTAATACAAAGGTCGGATGAATAAGTGATACAATTGTAATAAGAAACGAATTTTGATTAAGTCTGGTGACACTATTTTCACAGAGAAAAGTTATCTCTATGAATATAAACAGAGAACTTGCATGTCACCTGATTTTTTTATTCACTTTTATGTCATGACTAAGAAAAATATCCCTGAGTATCTCGTAAATTATATACTCATAGAGGACATCATTATAACTAAATGGTGTTTATAGAACTCAAACTGATGGCTTTTACTTGATACAACATTCGGATACACTATAAAAGGTTCTCTTAATTTTAAGTACTGAAAGAATTTGTCATTTCTCATACCACAAAATAATGTAGCGAGACTAAATTTATGGACGACTTTCGAACGAATGTCAAGTGACCTTGAGAAATATTAGTCAATCAGAAAACAGTGATGTTATGTTTCAAAGAGACAGCCGATTATATGACAGTGACTTATCGATCGGATCAAGGATTCAGAATCTCGATAGTCTATTCTGGTCCGTTGTCCCCAACTCTGCTAACTCGATCAAAAAGTCTGGGTAAGGTGTAGAAAGTGTATTCTACAGACAAACAGCAGATAACAAGTTAGGCAGGCAGATCAGATCAAGCATACAAGTCAAGCGTATTTATACAATTATTTACAATCGATAGAAAATTTTTAAACATTAATCAATGAGTTCATTAATTGACCTATTTGCGCATTTAATCGATAGTTCATCAATTGACCCCAATAAAAATATCTAACATTTAATCGATAAGATGATCGGTAAGATAAAATTTAAAATATGAGTTTGGGGATCTATCGTCCCCAACAAGTGAGTACAATAAAAATATATTATACAAAACCAAAGAGTTATAGTGGATACACTTCCTTTACATGGTTCAAAAACTTGTCAAGGTTAAAAAGAGGTTCAGAGGTTCCAAAATCGTAATGCATGTGCTATAGGAGCTCATCCATATGACTCCATGATAGTGGGCCTCTAAAGTTATGATAAGGTCGTAAAAACTATTTCAGCCTCTATCACATAGCTTCAAGATTGTTTGTCGTTTTTATTACGCATATGTCACTACAATACTCATAGCACTTAACAGACGAAACTTCAGTAACATTTGCGAATGTTGCAGACAGTGTTACTGGTGCTTTTGTTATACTGTTCGCAACAATCTTCTATGAACCGATTGTACATAAGCATCAAGTACTGAAATTGGCTCCGTGACCTTGAAATCTTTCACACGCTTCTGATTGGCTCGTCCATAAATTATAGTCTCGCCGTTTCCAAATTATACTCATGCTAACATTTGTAACCGGAAATCATAGTCTGAATATGAATCATTTTATCTTTTCATGATTATAAACGTTTTTCATTTCATCATTTATATATGAGTATACTTAATATCATATGTGCATGCAACACGTAAATTTCCTACATTTTTTAGATCTAGTACTATTATAATTTACTGAAGAGGAATAAAATTCACTTCCGTAGTTATGAATTTTTGTCTACTTGAAAAATATCAAATATTACATTCCTTACAATTTAGTAATTTTTGTTTTAGTGAATTATAATTGGAATAAAACGTAAATTATTTGCGCTGAATTAATAATATATTTGTATCAAAATTAATTTTGATTTGGTAATTTATTCTCTGAAGAAGTGACTTAAACCGAGTCACGAAACGTCAGAAAATCTAATTTTTCTATTCATTGGGATATTACATAAATATTATTTATTTCTAACAATCTATCCAATGCTCAGTTTATTCGAAATTATCAAGTCAAACCTTGGTAACGATACCTATAGGATTATATGTAAACTATATAAAGTAAAGAAAAGGTCAATCAGAATTGTTTCTATAGGTATACTGTATAAAGAATATTGTTATAGATATGTTTGATTGATATACTAATCGGTAATACTCTCTCTCTCTCTCTCTCTCTCTCTGAAATACACTACTCTTCAAATATCATTTATGAATTGAGAATCGTAAATTGACAAACATAAAAATAGTATTTACTGGACACTAGATTTATCATGTGAAATGTGATGTTTGATTTATAAAACATTTATATAAGTACGAAACATACTAGATGTTAGGTGCGTTTACTCATTTCTCCTTATTAATACCGTCGAAATGATTATGCTTAATGTAAACAGATGAGTACCTTTCTTACTGAACAAATGTGAGATTTTACTGGTATTTTTATAATTTATTTGTTCATTGTCAGTTTAGGTGGCTTTATGAAAGCTTTATATAGTTACGAGGTAGTAGAAACTATTCTCTGCTAGAAGACTGTGGGAGACCAGAGAGTACTGTACAGATCTCATTTACAATTGCTCACCAGTCTGAGCCTTAGGCAGCTAATTATATTGTGACTGAGACTGCTATTCACAGATTACGTTTGATGGGTATCGATTCATGTGACGAACTAGCAGAAGTTTGAAATGTAGACTACTGAATATGTGATTTGGGGGTAGTATGATTATCTCAAAACTTAAAAGTCATTACTTCGTTTAGAAGTGTACAGTGTTGAGTTTTAAACTAGATTCATGTGTCGAATAGATATTACTAATACCCTACGTAATAAGATATTTCTTTTCAACAGAGTTATTATCTAAATGTACATATATTGTTTTTGTTTTCTCACTGAGTTGATCTTTAAAGGTGTCAAGTATGTATGAACAAACAAATAATCTGATAACAGATTTGATAAGAAGCAATCATTGACTACTATTTTACTATAATTATTCCCTATCCTTCATTTTATCCATACAGTTATACCGTTAAGTCACCAAATGTTATATAGTGTTGTTTTAAAACATGGTAATAAAATAAAAAGTAAACATCATTTCATTATAACCAAAATAATAGATAATAATTAATTGCTTTGATTCAACAAATAATCTGTATCATTCTATTCTTCTGAGTTTGCAATTAGCAGTGAACTTCATAATTATAATAGACTAGTTAAAAATCTATGAAACATTACAGAAGTCTACTACTTTTATGCTTTTTGAACGTCAATAGAAACGACACTGATAAGCCCAAGTAAGTAAGTAAGTAAGTAATGTAGAGA